AGGATTACATTTGATGTAGTAGTAGTACTTATTGGGTGTATGATAGGGTATGTATTTGTTTAGGAATTAGCTACCCTTTTTGAAGAGGCTGATGCTGATACGTCGGGTTATATTGATTTTGATGAGTTTGTTACTATGATGATAATATATATACTAGAATCAAGAGAGCATCCAAATAGATTCCATCGTGATAGGACATCAGTATTCGATAATAGTAGGAGTAGTAGTGTTGGGGATATACGACATACTACTACTACTAATCATGCACTGCTTAATAATGGCAGCACTTATAAGGGTAGTAGTAGTAATACTGAGGTGTAGGATAATATTATATTGTGTTAGATAAGGATGTATTAAGACAACATTTATTAACTAGTAATAGAGCATCAGAATCCATAACCCATTTACCACCATTACCACATGATGAGGATGATGATGAAGATGATGATGATATACCCGAGGATTTGGCAGATCTAACCCCTGATGAACAGCAGAAGAGGATTAAGATAAGGGCTGCATATATGATGGGAATAGGTACTAATGGGATATCTATTATTGTACTACTCATAATAATAATTGAATCAGGTACATTATTAATATTAATATTCTCAGATCCAGCTGTAGATGTATTAAATGAGATTGGTATACGTAGTGGTATTAACCCATTTTATATATCATTCATACTAGCACCATTAGCAAGTAATGCAAGTGAATTAGTTGCTGCCTATAGTTATGCTCAAAAGAAGACTTCAAAACATATTACTATATCTATATCAACATTACAAGGTGCAGCATCTATGAATAATACATTCTGTTTGGGTATATTCCTAGCAGTTGTAATAATAACAATAACAATAGCATTGTCGACATCAACATATGATATCAGGTATATTTCCAAGAATTGGTATGGACATTCACAGCCGAGACTATTACTATAATCCTTATAGAAGTTATAATAGGCATTATAGCACTAAGGAGAGTCCATCTGTAAACCACTACTAGTATGGATATGATCATAATCATCATCATGTTCAGGCTTATTGATGGTATAATGGTATTATGTTTGTATCCACTATCTTTATTACTGGTATATATACTAGAATATAATGGTATTGATTAGTACTTACCTACTACTACTCTAGTATATTGTCCTCGTCATCATGATCGTACGTGTTACGGTGTTTATTATTATCCTTTAGTATTGAGTTTAGTATAATCAATGGGTTCCCTACATGGAGTAGTGGTGAGGAGGTAATAGCCTCCCGTACTAATGATACACAATAGTAGGCAGCTGTACTATTCGATGAGGTGACCATGTCAATATGAGTAGCC